CGCCCGCGTGGCCACGGGAATGCGGGCAGCTCCTGAGCGGATACCACTCTCTCTCTCTTTCTTGTAGGCAGGGTGCTGCTGTGCCAGGCAAACCAGGAGGGATCTCCCGTGTACAGTGCCCCCAGTTCTCTAGTATACACATCCACAAGTAAGCTAGTGCTACGGCTCTACTTTTATTCTGTGACAAAAGCGTCTCGATGTGAATGCGACCCCCTAAAACTGTAAATGCTCCCCATAGCTCGTTACGGTAAATGTGACGTTGATAAGTAATGCTAACGGATAACTCGCGATTTTTGTTTGCATCTCCAAATGTTTGCACTGTTCTGCAGTAATGCTCAAATGTTCTACAACAACAGTGAGGCTCTGTATAATCCAGCACTGTTGTGCACTCTGTGTTTTGTGTAGAAGATTAATTTGAAGTAAGTATTCCCTTCTGGTCATAATTTGTAATTAATAACTAAAAACTCTTGTACTTTGCTGGCTGTTTGATTGTAGCAGGGAAAAGAAAATGAAAGTAGGGGCATTTTGCATTTTAAGAAATTGGCCTAATAAAAATCAGCAAATACAAGCTGAGACCATGCATGTTTCCAAATGAAACTGGAGTTATTGATACCATTTCTGATATACTGATACCACTTCTGATACACTGATACTGTTTCTGAAGTCTAGTCTAATGAAAAAGTAGCTGAATGAATAATAATTGTGATTGTGATATGGATGAAATGTCTGAAGTGTCCAAAGATGATAAAAATCACCATGTTCTATGTAGTGACTGTTGAAATGATCTTTGGAACCAGATACGCCTCGCCAACCACTCAATAAGAATCTCTTTTTGCTTGTTGTGGTCCAGAAAGTCCTGTCCATGGCTGCTCACTGCATCAGGCTGAGCAGCGTCGTTTTGGGGAGGACCCTTAGCAGTTTTCCTGTAAAGAAAACATTTTGCAGCATCTGATTCAGCAAATGATCTGATATGCTCTTTACGAACACTGTATTCACTGTAGAATGGAATTCTGCTCTTTAAGACACCATTAGACTGTCAAATTAATTAATTTATCTTACCGATTAAAACCAGGAATGAGGACCAAGGAGTTCCAGCTCTACAGAGATCAGCTCTACAGTCATGTAACTCTTTTAAGTCTGTGAACAGCATTATCCTCACAGCTACCACTTTTATAGTATAAATATGTGAGATACTTTCAAATCGGAGATGCATAGTAAAGTAATGAAGTGTATGAAGTGTTTTAAATTGAAACTGAAATTATTAATGAAATTTTAATTTGCTTCCCAGAATATTTTGTACTATGACACCTTTCCCAAACAAGATTTTTTTTTCTTTTGAATCTTGTGGTAAGATAGGGAGGAGATAATTATTGTGTAACTCAGGAGGACGGTTCCCTACTGTAGGTGTTTAGTTTATTATTCCATTTTATCTTTAATGCTCCAAACAGTTGCATCTCTCCCTAGAAAATTATCCAAGCAGCTGATTCATTTCTCTGTTAGGGAGCCTTCGTGAGGATGGAGGCGGGGGGCAGATGTTTTCTGTAATTCACTCTAAATAAAACCTTTAAGTGTACCCTTACGCTCCTATAATATCACTGTGTTCTACCCTAAAGAAATTATGTCTGAGGTTGCTGCATATTTCCATTCTTATTAAATTCCTAGATAGTCACTGTGTCTTTAAACTACGTTCTTTGTTTCCACTGTTTCTCAGGAATCAATCCCTTGGAAAAATCTTATGGTGTAGTACTGCAGCTTGAATAACAATATCCTAACAAACACCTGTTTGCTCTTAATTATGTCAAAAAGATAAGAAAACAGACTTTGCCTTTCTGTCTCCCACTGGGCAATGTGTAGTGCACAGTTTCATAACAGAAGTCGTCAGGGTCCTTTCAGGAGAAATTGCTGCACCTTGGTTGAATCTGCACATCTGCAAGTCAGGATTCTTTTTTTAACATTAGGAATAGAATTTTGTATTGTCAAAATATAGCTTCCCTTACAGGGTCACAACTCCTGCTAATATGAAATTATTACAATCACTAATGATTGTAGTTCATTGTAATTAGTTTTTTTTTTTAATTTCTCCTTATTAAAAAAGTTTCAATGAAGGTATAAAATTGATACATTTCAGTAAGAAATGAACAAAGAATTCTACAAAGAACTGAATAGGAATGCATTTTGAGTTTTGTCTTGACTCATTTATATTCTTTTATTATTATTTTAAATATTTTCTTCTACGCTCCATGCTTGATTTAAAGTATTGAGAAGAAAACTGATAAATCAATGTTAAAATCTAGAATACTATTATTTATACTATCACCATCTGACCTTGACAACAGTAATGCAATCCTCATATTTCAGCAATTTTTAAATTATATGTTTTGCTGTTGCCATTTTTGTTACTGTGTAATATTTCAGAACAGCTCTCCCTGAAATAAGTAAGAGGTTTCAAATCTGTGTCACTTGAAGGAAATGGAAGAGCCAGCTGTGATTTTCCGAGCTGAGAGGTTTGGATTTCATTCTATGGTAATGATACTTAAGCATCTTCAGGTATTTGCAAAGTCTCCATTTGGAGAAATGTTTTCTTTACTTTGATTGTTCTTGTTTTGCTTTTAAGTTGACTTCTGTCAGGAAGGATGGAATGAACTATGGTTGTGAAAAGATTTTTGCTTGATTTGCTTGGCTTTATTTCTCACTTAGCTTCTGGCCTTCTCATTTTATTGGCCACTCGGCAGCTTTAGCATTGGCTTTTGACACTTGATCCCCAATTCCTGAGCTAGCCAGAAAGAAGAGTGTCTCTTGGAGCTGCCCTTTCCCACCTGGCTTGTTGCATTTCCCCAGGAAATATTTGCAGTACCCCATTTCCCTGTACAATGATTAGTTACACCTGTGAATATGTCAGGAGATGGAAAGATGGCTCCGCTTCCTCCTATCACTTCTGGCCCTTTGCATAATACAGAAAGAAATGAGCTGTTTCTCCTGCAAGCAGTGGAACAAATCAGTAGCAATAGTCTCTCATGCCTCATCTGTTCTCTTCTGCTGAAGCAGAAGATGGGAACTGGATCAGCTTTTCATTTGCAGCTTTTCATATTCTGAGAGTGGATAATTTGTTATGTAGAAAGCATAGATTCAGCCTGCAAATGTGCCCTTGGTGGGGCAGATTACTTGCCTGACTCTGAGCACCAAAAGTAAGGAAGCTCTTGGTCTCATCTCAGTTCCTGCTGTTTCCCATAGCGTTGACATCCCAAGAATAGATTGGTTTCTATTAAATTTTTCATCATCATCATTCTAATACAGAAAAGTAGACAAGAACTGGAAAGATAAATCTCCAGAAAATAGAGATTGTAGGACACCAAGGCCTAACACGGCAGTAAGGATTTGCTTCCCAGAATCCCATGATACCTCAGCCCTGCTACATGGAAACTTAATGGATCCAAGAGTTTGCCCACATGTAACTGCTATAGGTCCTTTCTGTTTCCACCTGTTTTAGGCCAGTTGCTTCTACAGGAAATTTTAAACTCCTGAAAAAATTTCTGTGTAATGACTAATAAAAAATTCAAGCAGAAAAATGTTGGGATGTTTCCAAAGTGAAGCCACTTGAAGAACGGTATGTGAGAATTCCCCTGCTGCACCAGAGGAAGATTTAAAAGAAGAAGAAGTTCCGTTGCTTAATTTCTGTATCACTGTCATTAAAGGACATTATTTTGGCAGTGTGTGTAAGTTTAAAAGAGCAAAAATATTAAGCTAAATTTATGCAAGGACTTCCAAAAACTACTAAGTGTCTAGTCTCACCATTTGCCTATAATGTCAAGGTGCTTGATAATGTGAATTAAACTGAAGTTATTTGGAGCTAAAACAGAGGTGTCAAAGCATGGAGAAGAAGGAAGATGAAAGATCACACTCATAGAATAATTCAGTGAGGTTTTTCAGGTCAGCTTTAGGTCTCTAACATTGCAATAAAGTGACAGAATTAAAAGAAGAAAAATGTGAAGTGTAGAAGTCAGATATTTATTTTATGTACAAGGGCAAATGAAGTTGACAGCCTATTTTTTAATTGATATATTGATAGCAATTTTTGTAAGTAGTAGTAGTGGAATTTGGCAAAAATGATTTAAGTAGTACAAATGCGTATAAATCAGTCCCATATTGTTCTTGTTCTTTATGTAATTGTCTGATAAAACTTTCATCAATTTCTGTAATTAATCTAATGGTCTAAATGAATTTTCAGATCACTGGTTATTCATTTCAGTATAGAAAATGCCATTAAATTGAGTTTAATTAATACAAAGTAAGTTCACAGTCCATTGTATAATTAGAAAAGAATTCTACTGTTTTAACTGTTTCAATTAAGAATATTATTTTTCCTCTCATTTTGTTTTTCCATTCGTGGGCTATTCATACTATAATAAACAGTGTAAACTATTATTAATTGAAATATTCAATACTCTGTGCTCTTTGAGTTTCCATCCGCAAAATATCGATGCTGATAATATTTTTTGTACTTGGCTCTCTGACTCTTTTTAAACAGAATTCTGTCAGTACCAAATCCATAATCCCATGATATGCCTCAGAACATCTTATTTGTCTTGATATTCCTTTCATAGAAATACATATGACAGAGAAGCACTCACCAGAGAATACTTTTGCTTTGCGTCAGACAGATATTAAAACAATAAACTATGTTGCCCTGGGATTTTAGCTTATGAGCAACCAAAAAACAACAAGGCAAAGATAAGATGTTTTTGAAAGGTGGGAAGGCAGTTGATTCCAAAAATTCCCTGGAAACCCTTACTCTTGTAACATTTTTGGCAGGAATTATTTTTAATGCTTAAGTTCTTTTAAAGCAAATCAGGGGACTGTGTTCCATTGCTTTAGAGCTCACATTAAAAATCTCCCTGAACTGTGCTAATGATTGTAAGTTTTCCATTACATGCCCATGGAGAAGTAAATCTAAAGCAGAAGCTTAAAGGATAAACTATGCTATAAGGACATTTTGTTTTTTTTTATGTATAGTCTCCATTAAAATTATTTTTTTTCTATGGCACTAATGGATTGAAGTGAGAGCTCTGATATTTATAGTATGTTCTGTGATATTTTTAGTGCCAGAAAGATTACTATGTAGTAACGATGTAAAAAAGTAAAATAGTAGGA